TGCATAGAACCTATTTATTCTATTATTACTTGTACCGACTTTGTAATTTGTATGCATGCATGCATTATTTGTAAAATTCTTCTTTTACTATTTCAGCTAGCCAATAAGATGCATGTTGCAGATCACGTGACAACTAGTCACACGTCTTCGTGTACCTGCTACTCTATTCGGACCCAAATTTTATATTATTCTACTTTAAGCGCCTGCAGTGGCAACCTTATCAGGACAGCCGGAATCGCGCCATACTTCGGTAGTTGGAAGCAGTTTCTCAGTTGTTGTTGTTTAGTTCAGTGTGAGTTTGAGTATTTTGTTTTTCTTCCCTCCTTTCTTCACCCTAACAGAATAATTCGGAGTAAAATTGCAGCAAATGTGCAATTTATATATTATCAGTTATAAAAACAGGCAATATGGGAAGTACAATCAATATAACGGGCAGATCTTAAGTGAATAATTATGCTACTGAAACAAAGTAATCAATTATAATCTTACATATATTATTATACGTAAGATGTAATTGATACTACTACTATGTAAGGTATAAATACTTTTATGATGCATCATATCAGGTAATAAAATACCTGATATGATACATCATAGAGGTATTTATACCTTACATATTCTTAATTCCAAAAGTTATTCTTTAATGCTTTCCTTTAAAATTTTTTACATTCATTTCTCAACGCATACATTATTTCCAATGAATAAAATTCTACAATCTATTATCCCATAGTATCAATGAAAAAAAAAAAAAAAAAAAAACACGGACATTTCTGAAATATATTTAGTAACACAAACATTATAAATTCCTTTCCCTCTTTGATAATATCCGATACAAAATATAACCCTAAAGAAACGAAACCAGCTAAAAAATTAGATAAAAATGAAGAATATCGGCAATTATGCCCAATATGAGCGAAATCAGAAACTAAAATTACGTTCCCTGATCAATAATTTAAAACAAAACATAAATCTACTTTCTCCCTAACACATTAAGGAACAAAAAAATATTCCAACATAACGCAGTCTTCGAAAATTCCTATAAACCCGAACAGCAACTGCATTCATTCTATATTTAACCGAGCCGATCGACATTGGAACTCAATCATAAAAATTATGGATATTACCACTCCGCCCTTTCGCGACCTCATTCCACCACCATTCACTCCGAAATCAGTAGTAGTATCAATTACAGGTACTTTTTGCTGCCGTATTAACTAATTTCCCGTTGGGACTACGATTTCAGAGATCGTGAGGTCTATATATACAGAATGGAAATGCTCCATTTGGCAAAAACGAATCCTGAACTCATTTCAATTAGGTAATGAATGGTACGCTAAAACATTACGGAAAAACGACGTCAAAAATGTACGTTTTCGGAACCTTTTATTTATATTTTATTGACCATTTCTTTACATTTGGGGTTCACAGAAATTTTTTTGCTGATTCATTAAAGCTAATGAAAGTGTATAGGTATAAATACGAAGGAAATTTTTATGTGGGTTGGGAGAAACGTATTAATTGTAACAGCTTTTTTAATGGATCTTCGTAAGGTAGTTTATTATTACCATTAACTATGAAGGTTTTCCTTCTTCTTTTCCACTTAGAACCGACTTTCTGTTCGTGCACTTGTTTATTTAATCAGCAGCATATCATTACTTTGCAAACATGAGAACGTGTTATGCCTTAAGAATGTTTACTATTTAGGACTTAGTAATTTCTTCAGGATACTTGTTGGCTCAATTGGCAAGAAGCTCAGATTACCTAAAACCATATTCCGCAAAATCCAAAGAGAATCCGCAGACGTAATCCGTTATTTCTTATACCATATGTCTCTGATTTTAAAACGCGACTGGTCACTAAGCATACATTTTAATTCAAGTATTATTAATATATTAAAAGATTTTGATTCTAAGCTAGTAAAATAAATGTAATAAAGTACTCAAATACATCGAACAAATACTGATGTTAAATCGGTAACTTTTTAGTTACCGATTTAACATCAGTAGTAATCTATTAAAATCATTAATTTGTAAAGGTTAATTAGTTTAATTATAGATAATTAGTAATTTGGAGAATACCGTTGCTCAAAGACAAGACTGATTTTGGAGAGCTCACTCTGTTTTTAAAGTCATTTCTACGAGGAAAAGTGCAATTTAAAATCGAAGAAATTCAGTAATTTAATTTTTTTTGGAAACATATTTTTAACTGTACTGAAGTACAGCATTTCGGTATCCGTAGATATTCGCTACAACAACCAATCATTATACTGCCCATTCAATATATGCAATGCCATATATAAAAAAAGGCCCATTGCTCAGATATAGTAAATGTATTTTCGTTATAGGAAGCACTCGTTATAACGTCATTTTCATCTTTTCCCACTTGCACCAGTCGTATGAGAGATTTCAGACCGGATTAATAAAATCTACCCTATCTGTAGAAAATGTAATACTGATCATTTCACTCCTGGGTATCTTCTCACCTGTTTGGGACTTGCAAAAGAGGACCTGTTGAAAATACCTACCTTCGTATTGGAAACATTGACGGCTCTTGGACTCATGGATCTGGTCTAGCCTAATACCTAACCAGTTAGGATCAGTAACAACAACAAAACATCAGATAAAAGCCGGAGATAGGCAGACCTCCCATATTAACGGTACGTATGTACACCGCCAATATGGCCTCTGGCTTCGGTGGTGAACCAGACAGAACATGTTGTCATTTTATCAAAGAGTAATTACTGCCTGTCAAGCCACACATCTGAAACAAAAGCCGATACACCAGACTGCACTGACCATCACGTTTGGGAAACAATTTCCCACGAATCAATCGCAATCGGACTTCCTTAAGATGATAATGGTTAATAATGCGACTGCTGTTCCAACATCACACACCGCCGGTTCGACAGTCTCCCCCCAGGCACTAGAACTGCAGTATTCATTTATTTCATTTAATAAAAGTTCAATACATTTCGCACAGCAGCATTGTTTGCATTCACTGAAGATTATGACAAAGGGCTTTATGTTTCAGAGAAAGGAGGCTTTTCTGAAGGTGTTTCTAAGAAAAACTGGCTCGTGTACATGTTACACACGGGAAAACCACGAAAACGCCCATACAGCCAGCCAGTTGGCTGTGATTCAAACCACCAACCGAACTACCAGTGTTTAGCGACTTTTACCACTCAGCCGTTGGTGAATCTCAATATTGTTGGAGTTCTTAACCACAAGAACAGTAATTAAGTATGGATAGCTTATAAAACAAAGATGACTACACATCATATCACTAACGGCCGCATATTGGAATTCAAGAAAGTTCGGCAGCCGCAGCAAGATTCTCCAAAAGTTACAAGTATTTGCATCATTTTAATAATAATTGAACAGGTTTCAAACACGAAGAAATGTCCGATTCCAAACAATTATTCAATGACAGTTCAGCAGGCGGAGATGCGTCGATGACAACGCGAGGTTTGAGGTGTCTTCGTTTTCTTTAATTACAGCTTGATGCGGTGAGAAGTACTCTTGTCCGGAAATGAAATAAAATAATCATTACTTGGACAATGATCAGTTTAAATTTATACGTAAACAGAAATGAAATAAATGAATTACTATCTTTCCCACATTGAGTTTCAGTTTACGATTTTTCATACACATATTTTATTCGCATAAGAATCGCACCACTCGCCTGTGGAAGCCGCAAGCGGTTTGCAAACCACGCTATGGCTACCTCTGAAACAAAGGATAAGAAGTGGCAGTGTTATAATAACGAATAAACTATCCAGTTGATATATTGGAAGAGTAAGTATTAGTTGAGTGTTTGAAAAATACACGTAGACATAAGCTCGCAGCTACAGAAGTTCATTATTATTTAGTTTGATTTTGAAAGATTACATAATTATTCAGCTCAGATTTGTAAAATCTATAATTATTCAGTATAAAAAACAATTCTTAGAATGAAACTGTACCGTTGAAGAAAGGCATCATTACTCAATTCTCATTTGCATCAGGCAACCATTTGTATTAAATATGAAATATAACAATACAAATTTTTATGGATAAAGCTGTTGCACAAACTTCCTTTCTAATGTCTGACAGCACTATTAGTAGATGCACTGCAATTTTTGTTAAATTTCACAGAGGTTGTGCACGCACAACAGTCATCTACCAGATAACAGTATAATACACATTAAAAAAAACATGATGATTAAAATAAGATACTCTGCAACTATATATCTGCTCTGCACAACTGTATTATTTGATTCTGCAGCTATATTTCTACCCTACATAGCCATTAGAAAAATTTCAAAACATTGATTAAGAATATTAACAATAAAATAAATAATGCACCAGAACAAACTGTAGATTCATGTTTTATTTTTTTAATTATTTAACATTGAATTCACTAATATAGGAACAAGAAGCTTAAAAATAATGTTATAACATATAAATTGGCAAACATTTTCATATCTATAATTTGTAATTCGAAATAGCTACAGTTCTCAGTTTTATTCAACTTAACATCGGTCCACATAATATTAGTTAATCAAAAATTCTATCGTATTATTTATATTGTGAAAAGCGTAACTGGCCCAAACATATAAGTCGGATAAACTGATTCAGGTCAAATTATGAAAGTCCAATGTATAGCAGGTATTCTTTTTATTTGATGCAAGAAGATTGGTTGGCACAACACCTGCTTACAAATTGATCTGCTGAGGTCGGTCACCCGTCGAAACACAGGACTTCACAATGTTGCAAATCAAGAAGAAAAAGAGGAACTCCATGCAAACAAAACATTTGAATGAAAGAAAGAAACTATCAACGATTATACACTAATACTTCCATTTTTGCAAAATTTTGTCGTTAATCTCTACTTATCCTTAATAGAAATGCCATATTTAATGACAAATTTCAGATACCTGTTTTGATGTAAAACTCAAAACTCACACTAAAATGGCAATATTATTTGTCCTGTAGTAATCAACAATAAAATATTTAGTTTACCTATGGTAGAAGGCCGCCCCAGTGAGGACAATAGAATAGTCATTGGTCCACTTAGAGGTATAGCCCCAGCAGCCTCGACTGTCGTCCCAAAAATGGGAACGTGCAGGGTAGCCGACGATACGCTCAGGAAACGATTGCCACACCTTGAATGCGAAGTCCACCTTAAAAGGAGGGGAAAAAGTGATACTTGAGTTTCAGAAGGGAAAAAAATATTGCATTTAATGAACAAAAACAAACAAACAAAAAAACCAGAGCTGAAAACAACGTTTGTACCTCTTCTGTTGTGAGTAGGACATCCTCATCCAAGCTGAGAACGGCATCTGTTTGAATGAGAGGATGTGGAAAGAACCTGGAGCTGATTGTCTGAAAAAGAAAATTACATTCATTTTAATTGACTGCAATACACATCTACGAATAGTACAGCTTCAGTTCATTGTTCACTTAATGATTGTCTCTCTGCATTTGTCAGTCACCATTTCTGGTCCCGAATGAATTTTTAATTAAGTAATACTATTTTATTGCTAAACTGTCTGCCAAACTACTGTTTTCTTGCATGAATTGTTTAAGGTAAGAAGGGAAGTACTATTATTTATTACGTGGGTTATAACTCTAGCAACATAGTAATGCAGAGGCTTTTCACATTGCCCTTCAGCTCCGCATCTTCGCTATTAACGTCGTTTCCGAATGTTATTCGGTTGCAAATTGCAATAAGCTGATTTCTATATTTATTCTCATTAGTTTTCGGGATTTCAGGATTAATTTTCTAATTTAGGTTTACAAGGAGTATAGAAAAAGAAGAAGAGGGGGAAGGCGGTGATGTCGACTTTGGTCGAGATTTAAAATATTTTTCTATGCGTAAAGCCGGATCGTAAAATCATTTTAATATTCGAAGTGTTCAGTTGAGACAGAATTCAGCCAAGAAATAGAAGACTATGCACAACTCTTTACCCTCGTTAAAATATGGTACTTTAATGTAGTGTATTTACGCTGAATGCTATAAATCCCATTTATGTATTTACAATATCTAATAATTTCTAGGCTTAATGAGTTTTCTCACGTCGCACTTAATTTTATTCATCGCAATAAAAATCGATAGATCGAGATTCCACTGTGTATGATGTAAGGTTTAATTAACACGTCCAAAGAGAAGCCCAACAGAGCCTAAGTGCCACTTCTGCCTAAGTGAAAGAATGTCTTCGTAGAAGACATTTTAACATCTAACTTCGTAGAGGACATCTTCTACGAAGACATTTTAAAGGGCTGGCTTCTATTCGCGTTACACACACCATGAAAACTCACATGCAGACAACCTATTCATTCGGGCGAGTGAATCACATGCAGACTGGGCTTTCAACTCGGGCGAGCTACCTGTGTTCAACTATTTTATCGCTCGGCAGCTAGTTTTGTCTGCTCTGTACTTCAAAAACAGATGTACACAATAAATTTTAGTTGTTTGATTTTATATCATTGTTGCGTTTATTTTAGCTTTCCATATTTATAGAATAAGCCGAGACGAAAATTTGCCTTGCAGGCTTAAGGGATTAGATTAGTTAGTTAAAGTATATTAATCTTATAACGTAATACGGATTACTGAAGAAATAGTTAACACTTAACAAAACGTTGAACATTTAATAGTGATTTATTATTGAAACGCTAAACATCTAATAGGGATTTATTACTGAAACGTTAAACGTCTAATAATGATTTACTGTTGAAACTCACGCATAGCATTTCTTCCGACTTCGTAATAAATGTTTAATTAACAATTATCACGAACAATAGGAAAAAGATGACAATAGATGACAAGAAACGATTCAAGAAAATATAATTATCTGCCAATCTCATATGAAGTTCAAATATAAAGAGATTTTGAAAATAATACCTCAGACAAAGAACGAAAAATTGACAGGATTTCCCATTGGACAAAAACAATGTGTGTGGGGAGGCAAAGTCGAAGATCTTTCTTCCCCAGACACCTACATATTTTCCGAACATACGCATTCTCATTGAACCCGCAAGTGGAGGTTATTTCGGTTCAAAAGAATTCAAAAGAATATACTCTTCCCCTCCTCAATACCCTCTAACATAATATGGCGCCACCTACGCCTACTATAACATCCGAATGCAAAAGTTCTTTGTTAGTACTGCGTAGGTAGTAAGAATAAAAAATAAGGAAACTAGGAGCTTTCTTTTAGTGCCCAACAATATCACCAATGGCTCCCTGACTTGAGTAAATTTTGAAGAAGCTCGATATCTACAAATTTTCAGACACTGATTTCATTACCGAAAGTTTAAGTATTGAGGTTATATAAGGAATCTACAGAGGACCTCAGTAGATTCAGAGATCGATAAAGAGCGAAAGGCGAATGCAATTAAAGTACGGCCAATTTGAACATTTTGCACAAGATTACACTGAGAAATTTTTTGAAGGGACTGCGGCGCTTTTTGGAACTAAAATCATATTTTACTTAAATACCTTCTACTTACATGTTTGAACACTTTATTAGTTGTAATATCACAGTCATAATAATTACTGTTTACCACAGCAAGTCTATAAGATCAATACATTTCCAAACTCCTTTACCATTTACCTACTCAACTGTCTACTGATCGAGGAATCTACTGCCCCATATTTTTATTTATAATTTTAAACCAATAGCATTTTTCATCAGAGGCTTGTAATGAATAAATCATAATTTTAATGGTTAATAAATCATATTTTAACATAAAATTATCTTCCTTTCGCTGGCAGTATTCTATAGCAGTGGAAAATAGTAGTAGATTACAGTAACCGTAGAAAACAAACGCGATAGGTAACGTTAAGAATGTTCTTAAAACCAGTATTTTACCAGTATTTGCAGCATTAAAAGCAATGCTGCAAATACTGGTAAAAATGTACCAATTTTATATGCGTCATATATAATACGAATTAGGCGGATTATAAATCACAAGCATTAAACATTATTAGAAATAAAATGATAAGAAAAATTATTGGCAAACTATATCTGTTAAATGTCAGCAATACATATTTTTAATTTGAAAAATAAATAAATTAAAAATTTTACACCGAGTCGCAATATTTCTGAAAACTAACAGTCTGCCAGACCATGTGAATAACAAGCAATTTAAATATTTTACGTTTCAACGAACGAGCGCCCTAATAGCGTGAAGTTAACGTCACGAAAAATGAAAAGATTAAACTAAAGATTTATTTTTAACATCAAAACTCAATTTGCATATAAATTTAATCAAAAGTTTTTGAACCAACAATAAGGTGAAAATGCAGTGCTGTTCTAGTAGCAAGGTTACTGAAAGGATTATGTTTGATTGCGGATAAATAATGCATTCAATATGACTGTCGATTTCAAAAACAGAGATTTATTTACAAAAGCCAGCGCACAATTTTTCTTTTGAACTTACAGATGATTACATATATACATATATACATTTTCAAGGCATTATATTATCTCGAGTCCAGGTTATCTGTTTGATTTCAGGGCTATGTTTTTGCAAATAGCTAATACTATAAGATACCTATAATCTCTTCCAGAATCCGGAAATGCAATTGTAGTTCTGGAAAGTCAATACCTAAGTCCCTGCGAATTCGATTACAGTCATTCTGTTGCGATAGAGGAGAACTTTAATGGGCAGTTAATGGGTGACGAACAGACTAGAGTGCCCATTAACGGGACTGAATGTGACGTGCCCGCACCAAGGCAAGATAATTTCAAATTCAGATTGTAGGCGGAAGATGCATCAAGGCGGCGCCAGAATTTAAGACAGATTGTTGGTGAGAGTATTCAACGTTTCATACGTGACTATTCACTGTGTAATAATCTGGAAATATGACATTTATTCGCCTTTCCCAAACGCAATTTCTGTTTTTTTTTTTTTTTAGGAATCGGAAGTATATAGAGTTATTGTTCATAAAGCAAAGGGAAATTAAAATTCGGTATTTCATAAAGAAAATAAAAGCCAGAAAATCGAGAACGAATGATTTTTACGTTTTGCTATAAAATATGATAAGTAAAATGGGGAAAGAGGAAAATCGTAGTTACTGTGCTTATTGCAAATTTACGAGCAATTAAGTTACTTTTTTGGTTATCGTGTATAATAAAGTAAATTGCAGTATTTCATCCAACAACGATTGTAAAAGTACAGATTTTGGTCTTGTTCATAATTACAGTCCGTTTTGACAACCTATAATTTTAAATGATAATCGGTGTGTTTAAAAAGTCATTACACTGGTTGCGTTTCAACAAGTGGTCTTCCGAATAAACTACATAATATATCAGCTAAAGTTTCGCAATTTTCAAATGAATACTATTGATCAAAGTAGCAAAAGCAGAAAGCGTTTACTTTCAAATATGTCGGAAGTAATGGTTAATGAAGCTTGCAAAACAGGAATAAATTCTTTGTTGTTCGACCTAATACGTTGTGAAATTAAAAACGCTGAAGTCTAAAGCTCTCGCTAACAAATTCCAGAAAGAACCTCCTAGTTTTTGATATGAAAATTAAAATTAGTAAAGTAAGATTAAGCTCCGATCACAGCTATTAAATTTTACTGCAGGTACAAATACAAGTGCACAGGATACCAGAATTTCCCCACCTTCGTAATGCAGGTCCAATCCCCCCCCCGGTTTACCTGTATTAAAAGTCATTTCATCCTTTCCCAATTCATCCTCATACCCCAAAATAGGTGTACATAGTAGGTACATAGGTGCGTGCACCTATGTACTAGGTGTACATAGGTGCCAGTGCAACTCGAAGCGATTTTTTCAAAATTCGAATCAGATTTTTTTTTAAATTTTATCTTTTTTGATGAAATTGCATCGTTTTGAATAGTTTCATTCTTTTAGAAATGTGGTTTTGGCAACAGTTTTCCATTCATTGCTTTGGATACTGGACTGCTGACTGTTTTCTCTTGAAAATATGAGATTTAGTGCTTATTTCATTCTAATTTTTTTTTATACTATGTTTTAATTATATAAAATTTTTGCATGATTTTTTTACAAAACAAAGTTCCTAACTCCGTTTATCCATTTAATTCTTAAGATTTTGCAACGGGAAGTTGGTTAATTTATTTATTAGGATAATATTTTGTTTTAAGGGATTTGCTTAGTTCATTGTATTTTTTTATATATAATAATTTTTATCGAAATTTCTGGGTTTTTTTTTTTTTTTTTATAAAGTTGTTCTGCAGAGTAAAATTTTGTGCAGTTTTTAAATTTAATGTTTGGTGCTCCCTTTAGGCATTTTTCTGGTACATTTAAAAGCCAGATAAAGGCTGGCCGGATAGTGGCTAGTACATAATATTGTTAAGAATTTTGTAGATATGTAAATAATTTTAGTGAAATTAATGG